AAAAAAGCCCTGTATGTTGTAAATGCCCATATTACATTTGTGGTCAGTGCAGGGGCGGACTGACAACTCATGGGCCCCGGGCAATAGGGGATCATGGCTCCCCTGTGTCCTTATCCACACTCAAACCACACCCAAAAAGCCTATGAAAGGTACCATGGGGCCCCCTACTGACCCCGGGCCCTCAGCCAGTGCCCGAGTGCTCGAATGGTCAGTCCACCCCTAGGTCAGTGTAACAGCCCTTTATATTTGTGGTAAGTAGGAGAAAGGCCACCAACACAAGAAGAGTTGAGGAAAGTGGAAAGACAGCACTGGACCTGCAGGTACACTCCACTAGTATTGTTATCTTAGGATATTATGTTGGTGTAAATGATCTGGTTCCTGGACAGGCGGCTTCTACATCCCAGAGGATCTCCACAGTCTCCCTGGCTTGTTGTGTATTCTAAGAAAAGTTGAAATTGAAGTGCCACACCACTGTTAACAGGTCCAGATACAACTTTATTCCATTAAAGGTTGGGGATATACTTTGAGAAGTAGCCAATGTGTTTTAGGGGTCCCAGTGCCCCATTCATCATGGCTTGACTGGCAATAAAGTTAATCAGCCGCCAAACAAGCTACTGATTAGGCCTTTGCTTTTAATGCACACTGGAATAAATAGCATTTTAGGTCCAGTTCTCTTCTGGCCTGCTCATTTTTTTTTTTTTTGCCAGTCAAGCCCTGATGAAGGAAGCACTTGGACCCCCAAAACACGTTGTGTACATCTCAAATTATACCCCTGACCTTTAATGGAATAAAGTTATATCTCGTAACAGTGGTGTGTGCTTCAATTTAAACTTATCTACCAATACAAGGACTTTACACTGACCATGACTAATGATCTTGTCAAAACGACTATGTCCTGTTGGGTGAAACGCATCGGGGGGGCGGTCCTAGGTCTTGTACTGTCATTCTAGAGCTTGTGGTTGTTTCATACAGTAATTATGGATTCCAATGATGCTACCGGTGTACACCAGTCTTTTTATTTATGAGTGTGGATATCCAGCACCCTGTGTTTGGATGACAGTAGGGAGGAGCAGCGTGGAGTGGAGAGGAATTTGTCAATCTTACCCAAATGTGAGTCAGCTAAAAATTGGACTGCTTCAGGAGAGCCACTTCCCTAGCACAGTTCCCCTCTCGCACCTTGTACATGATGAGCCTTTTCTCTGCTGGGAGTGCCTTATTACTGTCAGTGCAGACCCAGGAGTTCCGGATCTCACCTCCCTACATAGTCTTTCATGTACAGTAGTTGCCAGGGAGGAGCAAAGGGAAATATTGAAGAGTGTCACTTGAGTGAGAGCACTGAGTCTGCTGGAGCTGCTGACATCACATTCAAGGTGGGGGGGGGGGGGGGGGTACCAACAGCAGTCTCAAGGCTTTTGATGTCTACATCAAATTAGTCTTTTACAGGTAAGTACTGTATTTTTTGGGAAGATTTTTATTGAAACAAATCATCTGGTGGCAGGGTCTCCTTAAAGCAGAACTTCGCTCTCTCAATCAACATTGATTACATGTTATCTGTATTTGTTTTACAATTTTTTTCTTTAGTTACTTCCTGGTTTCATGGCCTAGGCAAATTATGTCATACATCCCAGGAGTCTTCAGGTAGGGAGGAGGAGTTTTCCTCCTGTCTACATGCCTGAGCTAAGAACAGATTGATTCCAGGAAGTAAACTCTACATGAATCATCTCCCCTTACTCAAGATGGCCAGAGCCAGAAATGCTAGGGGGTGTTTTTCAAAGTTATTTCAAAATAAAGCATGGAGATATGGATGGAAGTGTGAGTTTGCTTTGAATATTAAAAATGAATCAAAATAGCATTTTTGGTTTGTGGTGCTCAGATGCAGTGTAGTTTTGTTTTAATTTGGCCCCTTTTTGTGAAAACATAGATTTGTTTTGAGAAAAGACATGCTGTTTTAGACTCAGGAGTTGAGTATCTATATTCCTATGCATTTAGAAGGTACATTTTGTGGTTGAAAATTGAGCCTTTGTTGCGCAAACATGTTGCTGTTTTAGATGTTGGTGCTAGATATCTAAATCTACTGTCAGTGTATTAAAATGGCCTTTTTTGGTGAAAAAATTGAGATTTATTTTGAGAAAATACATTCCAGTTTTTGAGCCAGAAGCTTGTTATCCATATTCATATTCTGTGAAGCTGCAAAAAGCTAAATTTTTGTGAAAAAAAAAGTGTAAAGTAAATATGTTTGTTGTTTTAGACCCAGAAGGCGATTATCTATATACAGAGTTTATTTTAAAAAATGGACCCATTAGGGTACTTTCACACAGGCCTTCCGATCAGGTCCTCCTGTCAATTTTTCAAGCGGGCCTGATCAGAAGCTCCATGTAAGTCTATGGGTGGCCAGGATATAAATGAAACGTATTTTCACTAACATCCATTTGCCTCAAAGTCTATTCAGGTCCAGAAAAAGAAACTGGACCTGCAACTACATCCTTTTACATTTTTTTGGACCCAAAAACGTCATGGATCAGAAGTATTCTGATGTAAACAGATGCAAATCTATTTACATCAGGCCACTGATAGATTCAGCATTGGTCTAGAAAGCATTGCTTTATCAATGGAGCAAAGAAGTGAACAGACGTACTAAATGTCTCAAAAGGTTCAGTGGGATCTGTTCACAGGTTGGAATGGAGTAAGCCTGTGTGAAAGGACCCTTAAAGTGATTGTAAACCCTCAACTTAAAACAACCTATTTGGTTTGAAATAGAAATGCAAGGCAAAACATTTGTCAATAGATATAAAAAACATGTTCTCGGCTGCATAAGAGCTGTTGGAGGAGAAACTGCAGTACACTAAACTTCTCGGTGATAGGCTGTGCAGGAGAAATGTGTCAGGACCAGGGGCGGATTGACCATTTGGAAACTTGGGCACGGCCCGAGGGCCTTGGGTCAGTAGGGGGCCCCATGAGATGCCCCTGGTACCTTTTTCATAGGCTTTTTGGCTTTTTTGAGTTTGGGCAAGGACACAGGGGCCCCATGATCCCCTATTGCCCGGGGGCCCCATGAGTTGTCAGTCCGCCCCTGGTCAGGACAAGTCTGATCATTGGAGGAGAGCAGGCTTAGTTACCAGCATAGCTAAAGAACTGACTACAGTGTTCTCTCCTGCCTACTGTGGTCAGTTTTTCATAAGAAAACAGAGGGACTGGCAGGAACACCTTTTTTCACACAAAGGAAGCAATACAAAAAGAACAGCATACTTTTTCATACAAGGACATGGCACAGCAGGCACATATCAGGAATATGAAATGTTGGATTTATCTATTCTTTAAAAATAGAAAATTGTTTGAGCAAATACTTGCTGCTTTTGACACAGAAGCTATCTATTCCACAGGCAGCATATTGAAATCTGCAATTGTTAATAAGGGCACATGTACTGACACTCTATTTTAGCATTGTGACTAAAAATATGCCAAAGCATCTATTTCTCAAATCATTCAAGCATACCTTTGGTTGTAGAAAAGTCTGTTTTTGACTCAAAAAATCCATGCCCAGTTTCCCTCTGTCAACAATGGACATCTATGTAATGTAGATGAAACCAGAGAAGCTGTTTTGACACATTTTGGGGTTGATTTACTAAAACTGGAGTGTGCAAAATCTGGTTCAACTCTGCATCAGGTTTTGCACTCTCTCGTTTTCATAATTAACCCCTTTGGGGTTGATTTACTAAAACTGGAGAGTGCAAAATCTGATGCCATTGTGTATAGAAAGAAATCAGCTTCCAGGTTTTATTGTCAAAGCTTGATTGAACAAGCTGAAGTTAGAAGCTGATTGGCTACCATGCACAGTTGCACCAGATTGTGCACTCTCCATTAGTAAGTTAACCCCTTTCTGTCCTAGGGTGTCAATGTTGCTTTCTAAATACAATTTGATATGTAAGCATTGTCACTCTAGGACCGGACGTGCATTGCTTGTAGGATCACTGGAGAAAGTTAAAAGGAGAAAAAAGAAAATGAATGCAGCCACGATATCTAAAAAGTGGTTAACTGCAATATATTAGATTTTTATTCTTGGGTTTAGATATGCTTTATACGCTCCAACGGCACCTATAGAAACAGCCTTGAATATACTTTCAATATCCACATATTTTGACTTGCATATCATATCTTGTTTACTGATGTGAAAGCTTTGCCTGAGGTGTCAGCTTCTGACTTTAATTAGCTTTGTCACTGTTTATATGAATTGTATTTGTTTATTTCAAGGCAAATATGATTCTTGTCATTATGACAGCATAAAACAGATTCTTTGCTAATCATATCACACTTAATTAGTAATGGTATTGGGTTGATTGACCTTGACATGTCGAGAATGTGACACAAAAGGCTAAAGTGTTTAACACAATGACAAAGTATAAAAGCTAAAAAAAAAAGACAAACTTGTGAAGAAGACAAGAGATAAGAATAAGGTGAGACCTAGGTTTAATTAACAGTCTTTTGCAAGTAAGAATATAGAAAGTCAGATATTGCAGTAGAAGTATGGATGACATAGATAAAAAGGAAACTGATGGTGGGGGTGGGGAGTTTGTCTTTTAGGCTGATATACTGAAGCAGAGAGAGATAAATATATTTAAAAGTGAGAGGAAAAGCTTTACTGGAGGTATGTAAGAATTATTCATAGAAGCCACAAGAGGTGCATAGAAGGTGAGTGTATTGCTGTAAGGAACAAAATATGATTAGAGGAAACAGAGAACGTCTTTGGGGATGGAGAGAATGTATGAGTAGGAGGAGTAACTGTTGGAGAGGGAAATAATAAAGCAAAGGGTGGTAGAGGAGGATCTGCATTCATGAGAGAAGGAGTATTTTTCTTTCTTCCACTTCCATCCTTTCCTTTCAGTTGCTGAGGATCGAGCATCCTGCTCTCAACATCTTTCCTGCTGTCTCCACGGCAACCCAGACTCGGGTACCACTTGTACTTAGCAGCCGTGCAAGAACAAGCATTATCCCACTGCTTGAATATGGAGCTTGAGCTATCCACTTCCAGACTGTACTCAGACATCCTCTTCTACAATGCCACACAGAACCTCTCCTTCTCTCCCACATCCAACAGCAGCTTCAGTGTCCCAAGCCAAGGGGTCTCCAGAAACCATGCTTCAATAATTATGGCCGTGGCGATTACCGCCCTTTACTCAGTGGTGTGCGTGGTGGGGCTCCTCGGCAACATCCTGGTCATGTATGGGATTGTGAGGTACGGGCTGGACCTGCCGGGATGTTTGGCACTTTAACCGTTTCTTCACTTAAGTATCAGTTTTGTACCCGCCAGAGTACATCATATGTTGCTGAGAATATTTGTAATGCAGAGTTATGAGGAGTGGGTGTATGCAATGTGGAAAATCAGGAGATAGTTGTTCATTTCTGCATATCACCTCTGAGCCTAGATAGATAGATAGATAGATAGAGAGATAAATAAATAGATAGATAAAGCTGTGTATGTATATATGTGTTCTATGTACAATCATGATATACCATACTGTTCATCAGTATGGACTGTAAATATAAATACATTCATTTATTGGAAATGTGTTCATTAAGATGGGTTCTGTGCTGTATACGTTAACCAGTTTCAGAGCAGGTGCACTTATTGTACATTTTTCTGCTTAAGCATACTGCATTTTTGTTCTGTGTGTGTGCCACAACTGACCTCTATGTGCAGTACACGTCCAGGATCCACTGGTAATAAGAGCATGAATGACCTGAAGACAGACATCTCAATTAGACTGGCATTTTAGAAACAAGAGGGCAAGGGAATGCTATTCCTTTCTAATTCATTCAGTCTAGTCTCATCTCCCTGTGCAATGCATGTAACAACCTACTCCCCCCCCCTATTTCCAAATAGCCTATATCTACTATAAAATTTATAAAGAGCTGCCCCCAACATTAATTTTTTTTTTCTTCTTATGCCTATAGCTTGCATATCTTGTGTTTATGCTGTAACTATTGCTATACATTTAAACCTTATAAATCCCTACTATTTTATAAATAAAAGCTTCATAAACTTCCCTGGTCTTCCTGATAAAACTTCTCCCTATTGATTCCCCTATTTCCCTATATAACTGTTATAATAATTCCTATTTCCTCCTCTCTCTCCATATGACTATCACCTATAACTTTCCATAACTATAATCTATCTTGTTGATGCATTTTGCATAAAACTGGTTGTATAATTTAATTGCTCCCTAAACCTTCATCTCTTGTGCCATCCAACAGTTTTCTATGTAAGAAGTAATAATATTGTTCTCAGTTATTCATATTTTATAAGCTGATATGGGCACTTAACTTGAATATGATTTAAACATATTGCTGTTACTTTTTTTAGTATCAAAGGGCCTTATTTGTTGGTCTCCCATAGAGAACACAGTTTATCAATATTTACAGTTTAAAGATTGTATTACTAAATGGGCACTATGACTGTGAATGTTGCCAGTAATGCAAGTGAAGTGAAATGTTCTTGGTGAACTTGTTTTTTTTCTGAAAGTCATTGGTATTCAACTAAAAAGTGTCTAGAGCAACAATCATATTAATTATCTATATGTATAGTCTGAGATGAGGTTGTTGGTTCAGCAAGAGTCTGTCTAAGCATATTTTTTTTCTTTTTGGCACTGGCTCTCTAGTAAAGGATGACAGCTGGCATTGAACCTGAAGCAGAATGATTTGTGATCCTATACATGCCTACTGCTGTGATCCTTCATCTAGTATTCCTTGGGGAGTTGTGATATACTTCTAATTTATTAGGCATTTAGGCATTGTAACAATAATAAAGCAGTGACTATAAGCACTTTTGGAAAAACATGTAATTAAATGCATTCTAAAACCCATATGCTTTAATTGATTAAAAAATTTACATACATAAAGCTGAAAAAAATATATCTAAAAGCAAGTCACATACAAGGGACGATGCTTACTGTTTTCAGAAAGACTCAATATGCAATATGGCAGATCGCAAAGTTGTCCAGATATCTGGCCACAGTTAGTATTTATCAACATAAAAGTCACCAGTGGTCACTGGCATTCTTTTTCCGACAAATGAAAAGATTAAACCAGACACAACCAGAATGCTTATTGTATCTCAGCCTTTTATCTGGCCTCATGTAGCAACAAGTCTACCTAACACCCTATTGATTTTTAGTAGGATGATTACTGGGAATCATTGCTTTGGTACTTATGTTTGACATTAGGTGATGTTTCTGTTTGCTGCGCTGCTGACCGGTATAAATGGTCCTATAATGCCATGTAAAACATGAAGTGGATCATAAAAAAACTATTATTTGACCACTGGGGCTTAAAAGAACTATTGCATGGTTCCACCCACTGCCCTGAAATGAAGATGACATTTTTTTTAATTTTGTGAAATGTGAGGAAATGAGACCTGTGAATATATTCTGTTCTACGGTTGGAGTGCTTTTTAATTTCTTTAGTTCCTTCTCACCATAACCTTTACGGATACTGTCTTGTTTGTTTATTAGAGAAATTATTTTGAGTAGTTAGTTATACTATGCCTAAGAATTTTAATAGTCAGCAAAGCAAAATTATTAAGCAATTCTTTTCTCTAGACTTTACTTAATTAAAGTTGTAATTTCATCATCAAGCTGCAGATACTTTTGATGCAGGGTGTCATTGTCTAGGAACATTGTCTAGGAACAAGTATGGAGCTTGTAAGTCAGACAGTGGCTGGTTCCAGCAGACAGGTATTCAACATAATGACAAATTCCTTTTTGGACAACAGCTGTGTGATATTCATTGCTCTGTATTCAAGTTACTAACAGCTAATGCAACAGGCTTGTGATAGGTAACTATACACCCAAAAGTGATTTTTAAATTTTATGCATAGCCTTGTGAGCTGAGTCAGCCACTTATTTTTTTATATGTCTTGTGTATACTACCACAGCAAGATATCCCTGTAATATTTCCTAAGAAAAATGGTTGAACATGGAGAGTGGAACCCCTCTGAGTTTTAAGTGGACTGGTTGCTTAAGTAAATTATCAGGAGCAAATGCATGAGCAAAAGTATATTATTCCCTGAATTTACTGTAGGTTTCGTCATTCATCTAATACACGTTTTAGTTGGGGGTTCTGTATTGGCTTTTGAAATAACTGCAAGCCGGTTTTGCACCCAACAGAATGTGCAGCTTGCCTATGAGCATACAAATAATATCCAACAGTTACTAAAGCAATGCATTTTGGAACTAAATATCAGCTTCAATATTTCTAGAAAAACAAAGACATCTTGCCTTTTATGTAACATATTAATAATGTTCAAAGGATCTTTGTACATAAAAAGGTGACTTGATTTTATAAGATATGAAGAAAGAAACTAAAGTAGATAGAAATCACTGGTATGTTTAACACATTGTTAGTAATGACTTATGCCAGTGGTTCCCAAACCTTTTTCATTTCTGTACCCCTTGGCCATTCATTTCCATAAGTTGCCCCCCCAAAAAATATATATATTAGTAAGAACCATACTAACACTCTTATAAACCTGTTCACAGATATAAAATGAGTACCAAACCGTTGACAAACTCATGCAGGCTCCACCTCCGCAACATCTCCAAAATACGTTTGTTCCTAACCCCAGACACTACTAAACAACTCCTTCACTCCCTCATTATTTCACGACTTGACTACTGCAACTCCCTTCTCACGCATCTCTCACCGGCTTACCTCATCACAGACTATCTATCCCCGTTTCAGTCTATCCTGAACTCAGCGGCCAGACTCATCCACCTTACCAACCGCTCCGCATCTGCCAACCCCCTCTGTCATTCCCTCCACTGGCTCCCGATCGCCCAACACATTAAATTCAAACTACTAACACTGACATACAAACCCATCCATAATGCTGCCCCAAACTACCTCACCGACCTGATACCCAAATACCACCCAACCCGTAATCTTCGCTCCTCACAAGACCTCCTACTCTCTAGCTCCCTGGTCTCCACCTCCCACGCACGACTGCAGGACTTCTCCAGGACTTCCCCCATCCTCTGGAACTCACTACCCCAATCCCTTAGACTGTCACCTACCCTCCTCACCTTTAGGCGCACCCTAAAAACCCATCTCTTTAGGGAAGCCTACCCCACCCTCACCTAACAGCCAATCTCCTCCACTCCTTCTACCACTCCATCCCCCACAGCCACTTCCTCCTGTACAACTTTCCCCTCCCTCCTAGATTGTAAACTCGAAAGAGCAGGGCCCTCAAACCCCTTGTGTTTTGTTTTGTTAGTGTATTGTCTCATGTTCTGTCCCCCTTTATAATGTACAGCACTGAGCAAACCTTTCTGGCGCTATATAAATACTGTATAATAATAACTGACACTGCCATAAATATTTCTACAGATATACTATCAGGACTGATTTTTGAAAATCAGTGAGTCCAACAATGGCAGTAGAATTGAGGTATGGGCCAGAGACACCAAAATATATTTAAGGTGCTGAAGTTCACTGACGACTTCATCCAGGGAAATATCTGATTGCCTCTTGGGGGATCAGGAACGAAGGCAGGAAATGCTTCCCCGTGCTGGAGCAGATAGGATCATGCTTATTACGAAAGGGAGGGGGGTGGGGGGGGCGCGGGGCGGCGGTGGGGGGGGGGGGGGGGGGGGGGGGGGGGGGTTGTCTTCCTCTGGATCAACTGTGGGTATTGTGTTTGTGAAGATGTTCTATTTGTGTGAGTGTGTGTTTTTTTTTCTTCTGTTGGTTAAACTAGATGGACTTGTGTCTTTTTTCAACAAAACTAAATATGTAACTATATTCAAGTGGAGCATTATTACAGACCTACTTTCCCTCTCCAGTGTGTGTGACCTGCAGCTTTCACTCAGTCCTCAATGTGTATGTGTCTCCTCCTCTTCCTCCCCTGCACCATGAAAGCACATGATGCTGTGCGACCCAGCTGCCTACATCCTAGCAACTAATGACACAGAATTTCTGGGTGCTGCCATTACTGAAATGTTTTTGCATACCCCCAAATGTCTAGAAATGTACCCCTGGGTCTACACATAACCCAGGTTGAAAACCGGAAATGTACCCCTGGGTCTACACATAACCCAGGTTGGAAACCGGAAATGTACCCCTGGGTCTACACATAACCCAGGTTGAAAACCGGAAATGTACCCCTGGGTCTACACATAACCCAGGTTGGAAACCGGAAATGTACCCCTGGGTCTACACATAACCCAGGTTGGAAACTGG